CAGAGGCCAACCGAGCCTCGAGCTCCTTTATTCTTCTTGCTTGAACCAGGCCTTTTTCCTTCATTCTCTGAAGTTGGGTTTCGGCCGATGATAACTGGGCTCGAGCAGTTTCTTTCTCTGCAGCAAAGCGGTCCATACCTTCTTTCCACTGCAAAGACTCCGCTTTTATCACGTCGACCTCCTCACGAAGCTTCCCGATCATCTCGATTTTTTGCTGCAGCTGTGAGATCGAAAAGTTAGCCATCGTTCCGGTATCAAGCCCATAGGCTTTCAAAAGTATCATTACCTGCTCAGACAAATCGGTCTGATCTCGATAAGCCTTGGCCAACTCATCTCGGAGGTCTTTTATTTCCTCTTCTCTCTGCCCTAAGAGAAGTATTAGGGAGTTCCTCTCATCAGTAACCCGTTGAAGGTCGGTCTCGTATCGACGCAGCTCGTTTTGGGACCGAGAACATGCTTCTCGATGAACTGCCGCTGCCTACAAAGAAACAAGAAACGAAGTTAACAAAAAGTAAACATAAAGGTAGTACCGACAAAATAATTTTAAAGCTTACCTGATTCAAAGCCTACCGCACCCCTTGAAAAAGATCCTATTCATCACCAGTACCGGCAACGTCCTCGATACCGGTAAACAGGTCACGAAAGGGATCCTTTCCATCGTGAGGCCTGTCTAAATCGAGGGCCCCCAGAGCTTGGGCTTCCCGAATCACCCCTGCGGAAAAAACGGGAAAGGTAGGCGAATCTTCGATTGCTGCTGCCCCAAATGAATCGCCCGGAGCATTCTCTTCGGTTCGAAGGGATTCGAGGGCCCCTTCAGTCATATCCCCCATCCGTTGGCTCCGATAAGATGCGTCTTCGATCTCCGATAATTCGGGGACTCCACCCGAATCTTTCTCCGGTATATCCTCAGTTCGAGGCGGAGCCTCATGAAGCATCATCGATCCAGCTGCCGATGGGGCATCGGTGGTTCTCTTCGTTCGGGCCGCCAGCGTGGACCCATCGTTTTCTTCTTCTTCATCATCTTCATCCCTTAGACGCAGAACTGATTCCACGGTCAAAGTAATGACATTCTTGTTCGGCTTACGAGCTGTCCTCTTCTTCGGTTTTGGATCTTCGGGAACGGAGGCTCTTTTTCTTTTATTTCCCTTCACCGGCTTTGGGACAGAGGCCAAGATTTCTTCCTCGTTGGACAAGGGTCTCAAAACCGCGTCTTTACCCAAACCTGCATATGGAAAATCTTAATATTTGGAAACCACCTCGTTCGAATTATCATAGAGTACGAGGAAGGGGCTTACCATGATTTTTGGCCTCCCACCGACCCTTTGACAAATCACGCCATGAGCGCTCGACGTATGTGGAGGTCGAAACAAGAGCTCGTACCTAGTTCTTGAGATCAGGAACTGCTCCGGGCATCCAGGGAACCGCTACATCACAAAAGGAGGAGTGTCGATGAGAGAAGAAATGAAAGAACAAAGTAGAAGTAACGGCAGGATCACACTTACGTTTCATATTCCACTCCTCGGGAAATGGCATCTTTTCAACCGGAATCAGGTCCGAAGTCCTCACTCGAACGAACCTGCCCATCCAACCCCGATCCCTGTCCTCGTCAATACTCGAGAACAGAGCCTTGGTAGCCCGACGCTGAAGTTTTATTAACCTTCCTCGAAAAAGTCGAGGACGGTACAATCGGATAAGATGGTCGAGGGTGAACGGCATCCCCTCGATTTTGCTCACAAAATATCGGATTAGGATAACGATCCGCCAAAAAGAAGGATGGACCTGGCCTAGGGTTATCTGGTATTGACGACAGAAGTCAATAATAACGTAATCGAGGAGACCTAAAGTGAAAGGGTAAGTATACACATTCAAAAACCCTTTCATGTAAGAAGTGATATCTTCGTCAGGAGTAGGAATTATTATTTCTTTTTTACCCCAACTGCAATCCTTCTTTAGCTGTTTGAGGTGCTTCTCGGTTATCGAACACATGTACCTCGATACCGGCTCACACCGGCCAGGGACCGATGAGCCTCCTTAAAATCAGAAGTAAGAACACACTCCCCGGGAACGCACTCCTCAGGCCGTGGTTCTGCCGGTGTCTCATCGACGGCACACTGAAGATGAAGCCTTCTCTTTTTGAGGAATGGTTTGTGATGTTTTCGCCATTTTCGAATTCAAAGGTGAGGAATAGAAGAAAGTGACAAAGATTTGGTAGAATTTAAGAGGGGCTTTTGGGAAATCACAGATTTGCGGGTAAATCAGAAAATACGAAAAAGGACTTTGGGAAATTTGGAAGATTGAAGACGTAAAAGTGGTAAATGGTAAGAGGAAGGGTTATTTATAGGCTTAAGCGATGACGGTTCAGTATCAGCGGTGCCCGACCACCGTCTGACATGCATTAAATGCCTTGAAAGACTAAACCGACGGGACAACTATCACATGCGTCATGATCGAGCCCGATAGGGACGTCAGGTTATAATCCGATCGAGCCGTTAAAAAAATCATATCGTTTTTCACCACATTCTTCCTGAAAAACGAGGGGACTATCTGTATACGGTCGAAATAGATTTCGGCCTTCGTACGTTCGAACGATGATCGATCGAAGTGAGACTCCGAAGATGGAACAAACAAGCCTCGAACCCGAGGGGCCGATCCATGTCGAGTTCGACATCGTTATCGAGCTCGAATCCAAATCAAACTATGATGCATAGTAAAGCTATCATGCTTATGATCCAGAAACCAACCAACATTGACCCCGAATCAATTCGAGAGCTCGAGTCAGAATCGAGCTCGAGCCAAGATCGAGAGTTCGAGTCAGAATCGAGCTCAAACCAAGATCGAGGGCTCGAGGCAAGATCGAGCTCACAGACAAAAGCCGTTGCAATCCCACTAGCGAGAATCTTGGCAGAGATTGTGGAAAAACTGATTTATCATGGGTCTCCCACAGAGTATTTTTTTATTATGCTTAGAGCAAGGTCCCTCTACTATAAAGGGCATGGTTATCATTTATGAAAAAGGAAGTTTTTTCAGGCTTACATTGTAATAAAAACACTATATTCTCCCATAGTAAAGAATCGTTCTTTCAGGCTTCTTAAATTGATTCTACTTGTTGAGTCCTAAGATTCATTTTCTTTACAACCTTATCTATTTCGCATTCTTTGTAGTCCATATTTATATTTCTATTTATCCTTACAATTTGTATTAAGTTGCGCCACATATCCTTGGAACTACGTATAAATTCAACTCTATCCATTTTTCGGGTAAACAGTTTATAAGTACTCTTAACTCTTACACCCATATCACTTGCTTTAATCAACATTTAAGGTGTTTTTCATGTTTTATGGTGTTTGGTTTACCTTAAATTGTAGAAAATATTTTCTTCGCCAGAAGGAGGAAGATGACTTTCCTCCCTTATGAATGCAAGCATTTTCCTTTGAAAATATCGCAGCTCTTATTCCATAGATGAACACTTAGACTTCATTGTCAACTGGTAATAATTCTCAAATATATTGTCAAAACACTATCTTAATGCTTTATCTTGCACCTTGTATATGTTGACCCCAAACTTTCATACCAAATGCACCCTCTCTGTATTGGCCTTTTCTTTGTTTACCAATTGTTTTCATTTACTGGGCTCTATAGTAATATTGAATTTTGTGGATATTTCAGTGTTCTGTTCATTTGAAATTAAGTCTACAATAATTTCATAGCTCATATTTCTTCATGTACTTGCAGTATATTGAATGGCAATCGTACCGTGTGGAAGCACGTGGAGAGGTCAACCTCAGTTTCTAACAAAATTATCGGTTGCTAGTAAATTTTCAACATCTCCATTTTGGTGAGCCTGCTGTGGCGACTGAACTTCATCTGTATATGTATCTTCATTTTATGCTCCAAAGTTTAGTAATATAATCTTTTCGACATCTCAAACTCTGCATAGGTTGTGAAGTCATTCATTTGCAGTGTGTTTGGTAGTGTTCACATCATGGATTTAGACGCTTGCTGGATATTTTCTCTCATCCTTGGCATACCTATGTTAGTGTTAAAAACAGAAAAGATAAAAAGAAGAAAAATCAGACTTCCATGTAAGTTCTGAACACTTTGACTAGCCATTGAACCATGTTGGCCTCCAACAACATAATTAAATATGAAACTAGAACATCTTTTCTCCACAAAAAGATGCAATCTTTAATAACAGGTTGTGTTAAAAATGAAAGCTGGTCCTCCCCTCCCCCGGTGGGGGTTAAAAAGTTATTACTTAGTTGGTCTTTCATGCTCTTTTTGGAACATTATTGATGTCCATCGCTTAAAGGGGTCATCTGGTTTGCAACTAATTAACTCAGGATAATACTATTATAATGCCATTGAATTTTGGTGATAGGATTGTGAATATTACAATAAATAGGACAGTGAGTGCAATTTCATATGCTTGTATCCTAACATTACGTTAAGACAAGGTTCAGCATTACAGTTGGGATTAAAATTTTCAAGTGTAATCTGTATGATATCAGGTAGTAAAAATTTACAACTAATATTATTGCAGCCTAAATGAAAATATGAGGAGGCTGAATGTTCCGATAAGATTTACTTGCAGAGATAGGCTGGACGTAATTAGCAAGCAGTATGCAACCCCCTTTTGTGGGGATTGTTTTGTCCTATAAGGGGTAGGTGCAATATGTGAAAATGTAGTCTGGAGGTTTTAATATGCCAAATAAGATATTATAGTACCTGTTAAATAGTTCATGTATATATTGTTATATTTAGTGTCCCACATTGGAAAATATGTAGTATGTACTATGTAAGTATAAAGGCTCAGTGTAAGACACATCTTAAGTATAAGTATAGTTGAGACGCATCTTAAAATATTTTTCTGTGCTATTTCTCACATGCTTTCAGAGTATTGATGAGAGAAGATGACTGCAAAAATACCATCGTCTTCTGGAAATAAAATTGCAGTCACCATTTAATTTTTCGGTGACCTATGTGGTTGTCTGCGTCAATACCAGTTTCTATCTGTGTTTTGCGAAAATCAATACTACCACGAGGTTCGGGAAGCTCCGGCGAGCAAAGCCCAGTTAGCCCCTTCGGCTCCTGACCCTTCTCACGCCCTTATGTGCCGGCAACAATAGTCTCTCCGGCAGTGCGTCAAATCAACGCGCCAAGCGTATGACGAATTTTTCAGCGACTTCAACCTCTGATCCTTGGTTCTTGAGATACGCCTAGTGATTCCAACCTAAACCTACCCATTTTCAAGCAGTTTCGACAATCAGACTTACTGATCTGGTCATATTTTCACTTCAGCAACTTATCTCCGATTTCGGCAGCTTCTTTGGTCTTTCCGTTTGCTGTGGTATCACCTGAACAATATACAGTCTTGAGATTTATTTTTAAGTCATTTTGTCGTGCAACAGCAGTTCATACAACTCCCCAGCCACTTTTTAGCAGCCTTGTGAATATTTGCTTAGAACTCCCTTCATCCAATCATGTCTTTCGGATTTGGTGCTTTTAGTTCCAAATGTATGAGAGTTGGAATTCAAGTGTTATGATTACTTCTAAACCCTTAATGGGAAGTTCAAACTATCTAACTTGGACTTCCTTGATTTGGGTTGGTGCATTGATCAAGTTGTTCAAGATCACTTAACCAAAAAGGATAGTGAGGGAGATGAAAATACCTAAGCACAGTGGGAGAAGGTTGATGGTAAATTTGTAGCATGTTGATGCTCAATTGTGTAGTCTCCTGTGGCGCTCTATTGATTCAGTTGATGCCCTTGTTTCATCCATTCCAGAAATGTGATTTAGTTTTGGAAAAGACTTGCTCTTTATGCACTGATAACATCTTTTTTTATTTATAACCGTGGCGTCTGCCTAGCTTGCGCATACCTAAACACTAATCATATCTCCTTTTTATGATGTGATATCTTGGATCACAAACTTAAGAAGCAGGAGTTAGATATATCTACTTGGGATAAGTATAGGTAGTCATGGAAGAATTTGAGAAGTTGATGCCACTTCTGCTAGTATTGAAAAACAACAAGAGCAATGATAGAAGATTTTTCTAGTTCTTACACTCGCAGTGAATAAACTTGACATTTTCTTTCATGTGAGTATTGTAAGTCAGTTTATGGACTCTCCCTCTAGTCATTTGGATATAAATTCTTTGGTATATAAAATCATCTCCAGGCAAAGGACTACTGCAAAGGACTACCGCTCGAGGATTGAGGCCATGAGCAGATCGTTGGATGCACAGATGATGATTGGGCAGGATCACCTTAAGATAGACGCTCAAGTCTAGATATTGTGTTTTAGTAGGCGGTAATTTGATGTCTTTGAAGAGCAAGATATAGAATGTGATTGCTCTATCTAGTGCAGAAGTAGAATACCAAGCAATGGTTATGGCAACTTGTGAGCTAGTTTGGATCAAAAGTTACTTAAAGAATTGAAATTTGAAAAATTCAGTCAGATGGAACATGTGTGATAATCAAACTGCCCTTAATGTTGCATCAAATTCGATGTTCCGTGAGATGACTAAATACATTAAGTATAGGTGGCAAGTGGGCCGGGTCGGGCACTAAACGGGCCTAACGGGCCGCGGTTCCGGGCCGGTTCCGGTCCTTAAATAAACGGGCTAAATGGGCTTTTTGTAGGAACCGGCCCGGGACCGTGCCAACGAACTCATGGTCCCGGGCTAAATGGGCCCAACGGCTAAGCAGTAATTTTTTTTTAAAAATTAAATAGAAATTAGAGACAAAAAGATGTTAAAAAAATATCTAAGGCAATGCCTTGTAAATTTATTATAGAATTGTGACCTAATTTTTTCATTCAAATTTAAAGACAAAAATATTGTAAAAAGATATTCAAAACAATGCCTTGTAATTTTATTGTAGCAATAAAAAATATGGCAATATCTTTCTTAGTCTTCCTCCCCCCTATGGAATGAGCACAACAAGGTGCTAATACCACCATTGAGAAGAAAAAGGAACTAATCAGATGTGCCAAAATACAAGTTACATAATACATACTATTTTTTGTTCATACAAGTTACATGCTATCTCTTACAAACTTCATAAATCCTTCAAGGTTCGGAGGAAGTTCCGTTGGTGGTGGCGGAAAAGTAACTTGGTCATCGCCGCTTCCATTGTCGGGCGAAGCAACATCCTCAGCAAGTTCAACTAGCATTTCTTCGTAAGCTTCGTCTACCTCTGGTTATGATTCAGCAAGTCCAAAATTTCTTCTTTCCAAACGGATCCAATCTCTGAATAGTACTGATTTTTCCAAACTCTCCCTCATAGACGCTCTATAATCATCGATTTGAAGTCTTGCTTGACTGAAAGCGCTCTCCGATGCCACAGTTGAAGCTTGAATAGTTAAAATGTCTCGGGCCATCCTTTAAAGAACCGGAAAGTGTTTTTCTTTGTCCTTCCACCATTGCAAAATATTAAAGGTGCCGTCGGGATTCACTTCCTCAAGTTGCTGCGACAAATAAACTTCAAGCTCATTTAGTTGTGAAAAATCATTATTACTAGAACCAAAAGAACCCCTAAACCCCGCCCAAACACTAAGTCCTCTTACTCCCGCAGTTCTTTTAGAAGATTGAGAATCAAAAGAAGAAGTTGGAACTTTTGGTCTAGCATGATTTAATGCAACTTGATAAGCATTATAAATAGTTTCCGCATTTGTTCTAATTGAGGCTATTGCTTCCGGAAGTTTAGGCAACTCATCATTTTCAACTGCTAAACCATTATAAACAGTTTCATACCAAAATTGAGGACCTCCGAATTTCATACAAGGATTTAACAAAGCAGCAACACCATAAATAGGGGGAATAGGGAAAAAATATTTTTTAAAACTTTTTTCTCATAGAATCAATAGCAAGTTGATAAATTTTCCCACCCTGTGAAAAATGAGCAAACAAATTTGCAAGTTCTGCAATATAAACTAAACAGTTAGAAATAGTAGGATAATATTGCCCAGAAAATTCTTTTGTAGCAATATGAAATTTTTCTAAAATATCAACAAGCATTTTAACATTAGCCCAATCCCATTCGTAAGGTAATCGTCATCATCACTTACATGTGCATTAAACGTTGAGTTTATAGGGTTTCCATATTCATTTGCAACAACCAAACTTTCATACATGTAATCCCATCTAGTTGGACAGGGTTTAAGAACATTTCTTTCTCTTAGGCCACAATCATCGCATTTTTTAAAATATTCTCTAAGTCTACTTCTACGGTTTGAATGAAAAAGCCAGTTAAGAGCCATTTTAACTTTTTCAATTTGAATATTTAAAATTCTCATACCATCACCCACAATTAAATGGTAAATATGACAAATACATCTAACATGAAAAATGTTACTAAATGCAGGATTTAGCGTAGTGGTAAGCAAGTCTATAACATTTGTGTTATTAGTAGCATTATCCATTGAAACCGACATTATTTTATCACTAATGCAAAAATATCTACAAATATCCGTAACTGTGCTAGCAATAAACTGCCCTGTGTGACGTGAAACAATTATTCTATAAGCAATTATGCGCTTTTGCATTATCCAATCCTCATCAATCCAATGACATGTAACAGTAAGGTAATCACAGTCGTTGTTACTCCTACCAATATCAGTTGTAATAGCAACACGACAATTTATATGAGTAAATAAATAGCGCAAATATTGTTCATATTCATGCTTATATTTATAAATGTCGCTCTTTACGGTTGTGCGAGGAAAACCTTTATAAGTAGGATTAAAAAAATTTCTAATATAATGCACAAACACAGGGTCATAAGGAAAACTATAGGGTAAGCACATAACAGTTACCATTTTTGCCAATTCTTCCCGATCTTTTTTTGGATCATAATATAAAATACCACCGGTAACAGTGTTAATTCCCGAATTGACGAACAACTTGTTGAAGATTGATTATCGTTGAAGACTTGAAGACTTTAATTCACCAACTTCACAATTTTTTCACAAATTATAACAACCTCAATATTTTTTTGACTATTTTTTGGAATAAAGTAATAGTAGCAACCTCACAATTTTTTCACTATTTGTTTTGATAAAGTAAACAATTGTAGCAAGTATAGAATAAAATTAGAGAGAGATTTTGATAGATTGATATTGATTTTGTAAGAAAATGAAAGAATGAGGTGGTATTTATAGTAGAAAATAGGGAAAAAGTGTAATAATAAAAAGTTTGGGGTTAAAACTAAGTTGGGGGGTTAAATGGCTATTTTTTNGAAATTGAATCAAAATTAGGAAGATATTCGATCGGGTTGACTATCACTTCGTCGAGAAAAGATATTCTTAAAAGATATTGTTACAAAGTTTGTGAATCAAATAATCAACTTGCAAATATTTTCACCAAGTCTCTCAAATGGTTATCATATTAGTTACATCTCTAACAAGCTCCGTACATATGATCAATAGTTCAGACGCATATTAATAATATTTTCCTGTGCTATTTCTCACATGCTGAGTTCCCACATCTGTGTTGGGATGGGAAATTGGTCTTTTTGTATGGTCTTGGGCAATTCTCATCTCATGAGCTAGCCTTAGGGTTGAGTTAGACACAATGTCTATTTCTTTATCATGGTATCAGAGCGAGTCCCCAATTCATTGTTTACCCAATGTTGGGCTCCCATCTTGCATTGTTCATGCTCCAAATGTCCAGGCCTGATCATGGAGGGGATGTTGAGTTCCAACATCAGTGTGAGGATGGGAAATTGGTCTCTCTTTATGATTTTGGGCAATCCTTACCTCATGAGCTAGCTTTTGAGGTTGAGTTAGGTCCTGGTCCATTTCTTTGTCATCTACAATTTGGGTACAAAAAACAAAGGAAACGGGTATCCAATTCAATCCAAAGAATAATACACAAAATAAACAGTACTATGTTGATTTCTTGCACATTCATTGGACAGAGATGCACATAGAGTTGCTCTCAGATTATGACATGAAGCATCATGTGTTGAAGAAGTGATTTCTTTATATGCATATAAGTATGTACTTTGGTATGTGGTCTTTAAATTGTTTGTGTATAACTTGCTAGTATAGGTTTGTGACATGAGGGGATAGTTGAACATTTGAAGTGCTACTTCTTGTTTAATGTTGGGTTGTTTATTCATTTCTTAATATCTTATGCTTTTTCTCTTAAAGAAGTCTCCAATACTGACATGTTTTCTGCTCCGAGGGATAGCTCTTGTATTACCTACGCAGCATACCCATGGCATGCACACACTTACAAACCCTTTTATTGTTGATGCAGTTCCTCAAGCAAGACAAGGGCATTGGTGTCACCAAATTCCACACTTTTTTGTCAAGAATCCCTGCGTGGACTTTACAGCCCAGTGTCGCACAAGAATCGATGCCACCGGAGAGGGGCTCATTTCATTGTTAGGGCAGATAGAGTAAGATAATATGTGATTCTATTCTGTAATGGACTTTACTGTCATAATAGGCCCAAAATTTACTTATGTTTGCCATTTTAAATGCATATGGATAGTGAAACATTTACATGTTTTGCAGGATTACTATGATGTCCTAGGTGTGTCTAGAAATGCAAGCAAATCAGAGATAAAAAGTGGTGGGTAAAGCCTTCTGTTCTTATTTATATTTTATGCTTTTGATTTCCCAGTCTAGATTCATTCTAGGTGAAATGCACAAAGACCCATCTTTGCCATTCTCTTTATTTGTTGAGAGTGTAAGCTCATGAATAACAACAACAAAAACAACATACCCAGTTTGATCCCACAAGTGGGGTCTGGGGAGGGTGGGGTGTACGTAGACCTTACCTCTATCTTGTGCAAGGTAGAGAGACTGTTTTGGATAGACCCTTTGCTCAAGAGAAGTATTTTCAAAATATGTTTGAAAAATTAAAGATTTAAAAAAGTTAAGATGGAAATACTGAAAAATATTAAAAAAATTAAGATAACGAAGGTAAAAGAAACAATAGTAGTAATAAAATTGAAGAATAAGATAACAATAGAATAATAATAATAATAATAATAATAATAATAATAATAATAATAATAATGATGATGATGACAATGATAAGGAGAATAGGGAGCAAATAAGGTGCTCTAAACTAGAACCATGCTTTCCTCCGGAAAAGAGTGAAATCACTATACTGCCTACTAACCTTTTACCCTAATCTTCGACCTCCATGCTCTCCTATCTAGGGTCATGTCCTCGGTGGGCTGAAGATTTATCATGTCATGTCTAATCACTTTTCCCTAATTTTTCCTCGGTCTACCTCTACCTCTCCTTAGACCTATTACTGCCAACTTCACGCACCTCTTCACTGGCGCATTTGTGCTCTTCCTCTTTGTCGAGTTGTGTCCCACATTGGTGGGTAATTGGTGTCTTCGTCTCCTTATATGGTCTTAGGCAATCCTCACCTCATAAGCTAGCTTTTGAGTTTGAGTTAGGTCCAAGGTCCATTCTTTCAACCTTGACGAACGCAAAACATATACTTAAATATGCTCGCTAGTCGAATATAGTATAATATAATATCGTATTCACAGGGATTGGAGTTAAACAGTATTTTCGTAGTTTATAGCTTGATTGCTATCCAAGATGATCAACAATTGAGATTTATGTGATTAAAACTAAAATTAACTAAGAGTCTAAACTATTGGCTAATGACAATTGCAACAAGAGTAAGCAAAGAAGATATCAATGGATACTTGTCTGGGATTTAACTCTAGTTAATTCACATCTAAGGTTCAAGTGAGTCTCTCGAATTCACTCTATTATTAGTTCGAATGTTCAGTAGAAACTCTTCTCTCGATTAAGTCTCAACCTCACAATATGAACTAAGTTAAGCTCGGTGAAGATATGCAAGAATTCGTAGTGGATTGGTTTGTAAGAGAACCTCTTTCGATTATTCCCCTAACTAGGTCTAAACAATAATTCAACTAGCCTCTTTCGATTACTAAGAAGAACCAATGAATTCAACCAACAAGATAATGCAAAAACATCACAAGTTACGCCTCTTTCGATTACATAAACATGTGAATATATATGCAACAATTAAAACACCCAAAACAATTCAATACATAAAAACTCGAGTTAATATCCACAAACCATTCTCAAAACACCAAATCCATCAATCCCTAAAGAGAACTACTCCATAGATATAGAGTAATTCATCACAAATAAAGTTAAGTTAAAGGAAAACATAAAACAGTTCAAGCCCTTGTCTTGATTGAGGATTGAAGGATGAAATCCTTGTGCTCTTGCTTCTCCCATTTCTCCTTAGCCTCCTTAGGTTTAAAGTATGTCAAAAGTTCTCAAAATACCGTTTTTCCATGTATATATATCAAGTAGGTTCGGGCCCAAACGAACACACCTTCTCCTACGCGTAATAGGACTTTTCTCGGACAGGACGTGCGCGGCCGCGCACCTGGGGACCTGCTCGCGCATTTGGCCGTGCATTTTGCGTGGTCCACTGCCTCACATGCGCGCCCAGTGCGCGCTCGCGCACCTGGGTGACGCCCGACTCGATTCTTCGTTTCTCTCTTTGAATGCGCTAGTGTCCGTTGATCCCCGAACTCGATCCCAACTTAATCCTTGGGCTTTTACTCAAACTTCAACGCTCCAAAATGGCGTGAATTCATCCCATAACATCCACATAGCTCGGGATCACTCCTATAAGGCATAAAATACACAATTAGTGCATAACACTAGCGATTAACGCTCAAACACAATTAAAGTGTAGTAAATTAGAGTGCGATAAGCAACTAAAACACGCAATTATAGCCTACCATCAAACCTCGCTTCCTGCATTTTGTCCTCCATGGAGGCAACTCCCACCTTGTCCTGTATATCTTCGTTCCTAATCTTATCATGCCTAATATACCCATACATCCAACTAAGCATCCTCATTTCTGCTACTTTCATCGTCTGAACGTGTGAGTTATTAATTGGCCAACACTCTGCTCATGAGTAGTGGTGCATAATTTACTGAATTTGAAGCTGATGATGAACATTAGATACTTGTTATATAAATGTGTAATGTGATTATCTTGTTTCCTTTAAAGGTACTTTTATCTTCTTGAATGGATTTCAAAACCTTCCCTCTCGAAGCTATCTCTGTTTTTTTTGGGTAAAATATTTGTTAAAATTTTAAATTTTCACCATGAAATAATTACAAAAGACTTTGACCTTATTGAGCTTTAAGTGATGATTACTTTGGATGACATGTAAGTGGAGAATTTGGAGTATTAACCGAATAGGAACTTGAGTAGTCTCCTTTTTTCTTTGCTTGATAGGTAGGGGAACTTGAGTAGTCTCTGATGCAAAAACTATGAGAACAATGGGGAGTTTTAACACAAAACACAAAGAGTTCAGAGGATATTGGAGTTGGATGGATCTTTTGCAGTTATGGTAAAACATGTCTATAAAAAAAAATCTATTTTCCACTTAATTTTCCATACTACTTTTAATGTGCGAAATTTACAAAGACGGTAAACAAAGATGAAGGATTAGTTGAGAAACAGGATGAAGGCACTGGTTTTGATCCCCGGAATAACTGATGGGTGAATCAGAAGTGGTTCACAATTGTACAGGGATATTGATTGACGACGGAGTGTAAGAAGGACGGACAAGCCTTGTTGAACTTTCTCTCTGGACATAGTTAAACATTAATGATTCTTTCCTTTGTGGAAAAATTTTCAGAGAGCTGTTCTCTGTTTGACGAATTTGTAACATGAGAAAACTCAAATCCATCTTTATGATTTCCCACAACTGCTTCAATGAGCGCAATTGAACAGGGGTGTTGGCGTCAAGCAGAAGGACAAGCAGAAGAACCTGCTTTGCTGAACTTTCTCTATGAACATTAGACAAAATACTAATGATTCTGTTGGTGTTCTTTTTTTTTTTTTTAAAAAAATTTAAAAAATTACATTTTTCAGAAAGCTGTCAGTATGGTGAATGTGTGACACAAAAGAAAAAAAACAAATGCAAGTTTATTTTCCATAACTGCTCCCAGTTTTGGCACATTCTGGGGGAAGGTTTGCTTTTTGACCTTTTCTGAAAGAGTGAGTAAATTTTAATGTACAGAAAAAGAAAAAGAAAAACATAAATTTTTTAGCATTAGTGATGGTAGCCCTATCCTCTATACTTAATAAATGTTTCTTAATTTGTTCGTCAATATTAATATTTTTCTTTCCCCATTGGTTTGGCTTGGCTCGGTAGTAGTTCTACCACCTCTGAACAGGCCATTTCCTATTTACTTTGCTTCACCATGAGCAACTTCAATTCCTTTTATTGTTTCCTTTGCATGAAGATAGACAAGAGCAATTATGTTAATATCCTTGGATGTGGCCTATGTACTACTGAAGATTGGCTATCACTTAAAACCTCACTAATTATAAATCACAATTCATTCTGTGTTAAAAAAATTGGAAGTGTTGAAAATTTGTGTTGTGTTGCTGATTATTTAATTTTTCTTGTTTAGCTTATCGAAAACTTGCAAGGAGTTGCCATCCTGATGTGAACAAGTAAGTATTTCTCGAACTCTAAGATACTTTGCCGTTTATTTTGGTCTTGTTGCTGGAAGATGCTATTGAATACTATGTATCTAGTTTAGTTGTTCTCTAGCTTCTTATTGAGAAAGAAAGAAAAAGCTTAGTTGTCTTTAGTTCAGTAATACTTTGAGCGATTATGTTACTTCTCAAGACCGGATGATTAAGTACTTCAGATTTTAGTTTTACCTGTTGTTACTTGTGTAGAATCTATACTGTTTGTATTATTTTCAAGTTAAAAAAAGGGTAGAAAAAAGATGAGAAAATGGAAGTTAATGTTTGGATACTAGAGGGAGCTGTATCAGGAATTACTGGGGTATAAGATGAACTGTTACATGGGTTTATAGAACGCATATCACCTGATCTTATATCAATTTATATTTTATTTGATATGTGACTAATGTAAAGGATCCTAGCAAATGAAAACTTCCAACCTTTACTTGCTGAATTTTATCAGAAACATTCAGGATAGATGGGGACACAGGAAAATTCAAAAGTCATAATCAGATGAATATTTTCTATGAAACTGTGAATGGGAGGATTTTGATAGCTGTTTAAGTGTCAATAATTGAATCTAATAAGCTTAAGTTATATCTTGTTATATAAGTGTTCATTAGTTTTATTAGTATATGAGATTCTCATGAACACCCTTGCTTTCCTCTTTTGCAGAGAACCTGGAGCTGAACAGAAATTCAAAGAGATTAGTAATGCCTATGAGGTAGATTTTTTTCTTTTTTCCTTTTTTTAATACTGTCCTTTCTCCCTACTTGATGAAATTGAAAGCACCATTTAGTTTTCATATAACAAGACATACTCGAAGTACTTATGCTGGTTGAATGTTCTGCAATAGGTTTTGTCGGATTATGAGAAACGTTCCATCTATGATAGGTATGGGGAGGCTGGACTTGAAGGTTCTGGCATGGGCATGGGGGTAAGTTTCAGACAAGCTGTTGCGTATGCTATGCATAGATTTCTGACTACTTGTTGCTCATTGATAGGATTTTAGCAATCCCTTTGATTTGTTTGAATCATTATTCGATGGCCTGGGTGGCATGGGGGGCATGGGTGTGGGAGGAAGAGGTTCACGGAACAGCGCAACTGAAGGCGAAGATCAGGTCTATAATTTGGTTTTGAATTTCAAAGAAGCTGTATTTGGGGTTGAGAAAGAGATTGAAATTGGTAGGCTTGAAAGCTGTGGTACCTGTGATGGATCAGGTGCAAAACCAGGGACTAAACCATCAACTTGTAATACTTGTGGTGGGCAAGGGCAGGTTGTCTCCTCAGCAAGGACTCCACTGGGTGTCTTCCAGCAGGTGATGACATGTTCTGCTTGCGGTGGGACTGGAGAGATATCTACTCCTTGCAACACATGTAGTGGGGATGGACGTGTGAGGAAATCGAAGCATATTAGCTTAAAAATCCCCCCTGGTGTAGATTCAGGTAGCCGGCTAAGGGTTCGGTCTGAAGGTAATGCAGGAAGGAGTTGTGGACCCCCAGGCGATCTTTTTGTTACACTAGAGGTTCTCCCAGATCCTGTATTAAAGCGAGATGACACCAATATTCTCTACACTTGCAAAGTTTCTTATATTGATGCAATTTTAGGGACAACAATGAAGGTGCCCACGGTAGATGGAATGGTTGATCTAAAGATTCCATCTGGTACCCAGCCAGGCACAACACTGGTAATGGCAAAAAAAGGTGTGCCTCTTCTGAACAAACCTAACATGAGGGGCGACCAGCTGGTGAGAGTGCAAGTTGAGATTCCGAAACGGGTGAGTGGTGAGGAGAGGAAGCTCATTGAAGAACTAGACAACTTTAAAAAGGCTAAGGCTACCAGCAGTAGGAAATAGCTGAAGGAGCTGCATCTTCCTCACTTTTGAATAAACTTATATACGGGGGTGTTTGGGTTTTGGGATATTCCCCTTTGTTTGCTCCAAAAAATAACAGACCACAATTTTACGATTGATCCCTCATCAATCTATATGTAGCATAGTTGTTGTATTAGGGAACACTTGAGGGTTGATTTATTAACGTGTACTATAGCTAGGGGTGGCAAACGGGTGGGTCGGGCGGATATGGGCAGGTCGAAAACGGGTAATGGGTTAACCGGCGGATAATTTGGATATCCATATTATCCAAAGCTTCTTGAATATGATCATTTTTGAGGTAATTTCTAGTCTTCCAAACTTAAGGAACTCCCAATTTGAAGCTTTAAAAATGTAAAAGTTAAACACAATAGTTATCTATTGATTATCCATTGTCTAAGTAAATAGCATGAACATTAAAAACAATGCTAACAACTTCAACCTATAAGGATACATGCACTCTCAACAGAAGCAAGATGAAATACCACATTATTACGGTATTACATTACACAATTCAACAGCCTAAACATGAAAATTGATTGCCAGAAAAAGAAGAAAAATGAGTTGGAAATAAAGAAGGGGAACATGCTGGCATAGCAGGACCACTGAAAGTTTGGGCACAACCCAACTAAACCCATTTATTTTTGGTAGTCCAAATCACCCCATAGTTTCAATCCAAAGTGACCCATGAATAGCAGTTTCCTTTTAAAGCTTCTAAAGGTGTGTTTGGTATGAAGAAAAATATTTTTCAGAGTGACTTTATCACTTATTTTCGGGAGAAATTAAAAAATAGCCAGATTTACAAATGGTCGTTCAAAAATAGCCCAATTTCAAAAGTAATCGAAATTTAGCCACTTTTCATGTAAAGATAAATCTGAGCGAAAAAACTGTTCAAAACTCGGAAAATACGCCAGTATATTATACTGGAGTTCCAAGATAAGTATGCTGGAACTCCAGCATAATATGATGGAGTTCCAGCATAACTACACTAGAACTCCAGCATAATATACTGGAGTTCTAACAAGTATAATTGTCCAGTATAATATACTGGAGTTTGGAGCATCGGTGCTCCAGTCTCCAGTATATTATACTGGAGTTAGCAAAGTATACCGGTCCAGCATAATATGTTGGAGTTCATACACAGGTGCACCGAACTCCAGTATATTATGCTGGATCGGTCTCTGTTGCAGCAAAATAGTGGTTATTTTTCATTGACTTCGTGAACGCTGGCTATTTTTGAATGACCAGTCCGAAAACTGGCTATACCGTGCTATTTTTACCTTATTTCCCCATATTTGGTTGGTGAGTGAAATTTATTTTCTAGTGTATTTTCTATGCTACTGTCCTCAACCCCCACCCAAATTTCTATATTTCCTGTATCACCCCCCCCAATACCCAACGTTTTCAGGATTTAATTTTCTTCAAGAATTCAGTTATTCTTTTAAAAATTCACACAAACCAAAGGAACTAATGTGCTGCTTTACTTTTCATGCAAGAACATTGAAATTTTAACTTCATAACTGGAAAAAATACTCTTTTTCTTGTTGAAACATAAAAAAATACTTTTTCTACAACATGAAAAGAAAGCACTCTTTGTTGAAATAAAAGAAAATACTTTTTTTACATCGTAAAAAGAAAATATCCATTTTGTTGAAATAAAAATGAAAATATTCTATCTACAATTCCAAAATAAAGTACTCCAAATAATATTTCTATTTAGGGTAGGGTGTGGGTTCTGGGTAGGTTAGGATTGGGGGTGGTGGGAAGAGGTTGGGGTTGACTGGGAAGTTCTAACTCTATTAAATTTTATTATTCTGATCTTTATTAGTATTATAAGATAAAGAACTATCAAATAAAGTTCTAAATTCAAAAAAGAGCAAAGAATTCTTTAGGCATGGATTGACATTTATTCCAAAACATAAGACAAGAAGTAATATGAAAAAAGGAAAAATAATGTTGTCATCATAAACCATTCCAGAATTATATTTACGAAAAATGAAAATAAAAGTTATTGTTATATATGTGAGAATATTTTATATATGCTTGTTTAAAAGTTGAGAATATTGCAAAAATTTGGCTCAATTTGGGCGGGTTTGGTTATAACTCATTGTTTAGCTCATCTTGATCCAGCCCATCTTAACCCAATTGAATTTTGAGCGGGGTTGGAAAATGATCCATTTAATGAGTCAACCCATCTTGACAAGCCCAAACAAGGCATTTGTCACCCCTACCTGAGATAATAATGCAACCGATATTTGATATAAAGAGGTAAACAATTATATCAATCACACCCTTAATCATTTTAAATAGAAAGATTAGTGAAATCTAACCAACGTTAAAACCTTTTTAAAATAATTATATCAGTCCATAATCTTAATAAAAATCATACGAAATAATTTCAATTGTATCAAGTCATTGAAATTATTTTTGGCTCGTTAAGCCTAACTTAAAAATATCTTCTTTTACCTTTTATCGGGAGTCTATATCGACACCGACATAATAAATAATCACTAGGTGATCAACCAAGCTAAAAGTATTTGACCCTACTTATCCGGATGGCTTTCCGAAATGATGTCCGAGTCAATTTAACCTACCTTAAGTAATAATTATTTACCCTCACAATGGAAAACTTTATCCTACAAAACTCGGCATAGCCTTGGAATATGATGTCAGATAGTATATTGATGGCTTGATACAGCTAGTTGGGATTGATATAATGTATCTATAAAAGAATCATAACTTAGAGTGAGTTTCGGAAGTTGGAATTTGGTTCTAAGGATTTTAAGCTAAGTTAGAAGGAAAAATCTTCAGTTATGACTGTGTTATGGGTTTATATGGGTTGAGGTGACGTGACATCACCCATGGGTATATGCATGATGAGTTCTTACCGTGATTTGATGACTTCGAATGACTCTTGTCACGTTCATGGATGAACGTATGTTTAAGTGGGGGAGAATGAAACAATTTGACCGTTCGTTTGAGTTCTGGTATTTTGTCCTATAATTTAAGACTTCGAGTGGCTTCATATGGTGTATTATGACTTGTGTGCATGGTTGATTTTGATGTTAGCAAGGTTTAGGATTGATTTGATAGAATGATTCTCAAATTGGAAGCTTTAAGCTGGAAGAATTGACCACGGTTTGACTTTTGATTAAACGACCTCGGAATCGAAATTTAATGGTTTCAATAGGCTCTTATGATAATTTTGGACTTGAGCTTATGTTCAGATTTGAAATTGGACGTTCCTAGAAGGTTTTAGCTCTATTTGTCGAAAGTTGGCAATTTAAAAAATTGGAGAGTTTATAGGTTTGGCCGGTAGTTGACTTCAGTATTATCAGTCTCCTGTTATGATTTTGAAATATTGAATAGGTTTATTTGGTTTATCGGAACTTGTGTAAAAAATTTAGTTGTGATCCAGCATATCTAAGTATGCTTTTGACGTTTTCGGCGAAGGTAAAATGTTTAAAACTAAAGAGAATGATTTGATCTTCTATTCTTGGTTTTATGTTATTTGTGGTGCTTTTGAGCCTTTGGATAATGTATTTTTATTTATTGGTATTGATTGAATGGGTTCCGAGGGGCTCGGGTGTATTTTGAGTCATTGGTCAAGAGACTAATTGAGTTAAGGATTTAGAGTTTGACCACGGTCAACATCGAGTCAAGACGACCTCTTTTCGGTGTTTTGAGTGCGCGAGCATGTTCATAGCATATTTTATGATTGCGTTGTATATATGATTTGTGTTCGGGAGGTTTCGGATGAGTTTCGGGTTCTAAAATTAAGATTTTGAAATTTCTGATTTTTCTGGTACAATAATTTCGAAAATACCAATTATGTCCCTGAGCTCGTCCATAAATTTTAGACTCCCTTCAAAACATCATATATCTCTCATTTTAAGGTCAGACGAGGTGATTCAAAAGGCTATCTTGGGTATAATTTTACAATGATTATGTTGTGCTTATCAAAGATGAGTTTCAGGATTATTTGCATATGATTCAGACAGGGACAATTGACGTATTTTTTATTTTTTTTATTTTGGGATTTAGTCACTTTTTTCATAAAATTTTGGAGCTCGAGAGACGATTTTTGAGGGTTTTTTTATCTACTTCATTGAGGTAAGTAAATCTAACTTGAATTTATGATTATAAAATAAATCTATCATTGACTTTGACTCTAAATCAAGGAACTTTAAAGAAGAAAAGGTGGTTTTTGGCTTATAAGATAAGAAATTGTATTTTAAATTTTTGAACATCGATTTGAACTCGAATTTAAAAAGTAATCACATATTTGGACTTGACAACTTATGTGTTATCAAGATTTGGTATCGGTTTAAGATTTTGGGCATGTGGGTCTGGGTTGACTTTTGTTGACTCTTTGGGAATTCATCAAAGATCGAAACTTTATTGTTTGGGATTACTTCCTATAGCATTGTTTGACTTACTTGGATAATATTTGGCTTGGATTTGCATGATTGGAGGGCTAGAGAGAGGTTTCGATGCGATTTGAGGGTGAAACTAGTCGGATAAGGTAAGTGTCTTACCTAGCTTTGATTTGTGAAATTATTTCCTAATAAATGATATTGTTTGCTACATGTGGGGTTGGTGTATATGCGAGATGACGAGCGTATATGCATGTGATATGGGTATTCATGTTCGGGGGCGGATTCTAGGTTACTTGATGCCCTAATGGATTGTGTGTTTTTCTTGACTTATGCTTCTTGATATTATTATTATTATTATGCACGAATGGTGTTTTCGTGCTTCTTGACATTTTTATTATTGCATGAAGGGTGTTTTCGTACTTGGTAAGAAAGAGTGATATGATATTGGCACGAATGATGTTTTCGTGCAAGTGTGGTCAGAGTTCATAGTACAAAGGATATTTATGTGCATGTGGGGATGAGAGACATGCATTATATGGTGTTATCCTTCCCAACACATATACATTTATACCTTTTACCTAGGTTGTTATTGTTGAAACTATGCTTTCTATCTGATTTGTTGTTGTTACATCTATGCCTTCTATCTTGCTTGTTATTATTATCTACATGTCTTCTATCTTGTATGTTACTGTTATTCACGTGCCCTCTACCATGTTCGTTATTATCATCTACATGCCTCTACCTTGTTTGTTACTATAATTTACATGCCTTCTATTGTTTGTTGTTA